AAAAAAAAAAAAGAAATAAATGAGAAGAAAATAATTCAAACTATATTTTAAAAGGATAAAATATAATGAGGAGGGAAAAAAAAGCCACAATATCTGGAGAAGGAGGAATGAGAGAAAAGAGCAAGAGTAAAAGAATAGTAATGAAAAAAAATGAGAAAATTGCAAAAGGAAAAACAAGGGATGGGAAGAACCAAAAGAAAGAAAGGAAAAGAGAACCAGGGAAAAGGAAGAGAAAAAAACAGAAAATAAAAAAGAAGAAGAATAACCAAGGATGGGAAAGAGGGGGTGGGGGAAAGGAAGAAAGAAGGAAGACAAAATAGAATAATTTAGAACAATCAAAAACAAATCTGTGTGGGGCATAGCAACCATGCTCTGTCTGGGCACAGACTAGGGTGGAATTCCTACTGGTCAAGAAGGTAGGTAGAAGCGGGGCATGGCCACACTGTGTTCACCAAGAATGTGCGGAGGTATAAGACTAAGAAAGGGTATATCACAGCTTTCCATTTATCAGCTTCCAATGCAGTAGCCTGTGCTGTCCTTTGCAAATGGAACCCACTACTATGTCCCGTCCAGATAAGAATGCCACTTGCATATATTCAAAATAGTCATGGCCACTGCTTGCAAATATTCAAAATGTATGCACCCTCAGGACAGCCACTGCAGCTCACAGATCTGTTTGTCCCCTTACTCACTATTTCCCTTTTTGGTTGTCAGGTAGCAATTCAGTCCTTGCCCATGCAGTCCTAGGTGAGCAGAGCCAATTCTTATGGTGCTAATGAGAAATATTCAAAATGTCTGTGTCCTCAGGACAGTCAGGAGTCCACAGCTCTGTGTATCACCTTACTCACTGTTTTCATTCAGGCTTTTCTATTAGTTAGTATTTAATCCACTTCTTTACCCTTGTCTTCAAAGCTCAGGGTTCCAGGATTGTCTTCTGTATTGGTTTCAATTTCTCATTGCTTTGTTCCAAAGGGTCTTTGTAATCTATATGCTGATTCCACCATCTTGCTGGAACTCCTTTTCCAAATTTCTTGGCATAGATGAGTGAGCACTTCCATCATTGCATCCATTTGTTGAAACATCTCAATTGGTATTCCATCAATTCTCGAAGGCTTGTTTTTGACAATGCCTTCAGTATAGCTTAGACTAGTTTCTTTAATACTATCAATTCTTGACCTCCTAAAATGGTTGAATGTCAACCTATTCTTTTTGGTACATTAACTCTGTGTTTTCCTTCCATCTTCTTTTAATGTTTCCTGCGTTGTGCAATATTACAACTCAACATTACAACCCTAGGCTTGAATTTTGTCATCAATTCTTTCAGCTTGAGAAGTATTGAACATGTTATTCCCTTTTGATTTTCAAACTTCAAGTCTTTGCACATTTCATTATAATACATGATTTTGTCTTCTGGAGCCCCCTTTTGAAATCTTCTGTACAGCTCTTTTATTTCATTTTCTTTCACTCAGTTTACCCAGATTCTACCAAACAGTCATCTTATGTGGAAAGTACCCTGTATGAAAAAACAGCCACTTTATTTCTGAGTATGTAATGTCAAAATTAGTATACTCACGAAGGTAGAGTGACATATTAAGTTTACATTGATAAAATGTCTGATTTAGAGAGAACAGTATAAAAATTTCTAATAGTTAAGAGAAATTGTCCTTCCATCTTTGGAGACCACTATTCTAGCATGATAATGAATAACAATTTACTCCTTGCTATCAACATCCATGACTGGTCATTTTGTCAGAAAGAGTCAGTCCCTGGAGAAGGATATCATGCTTGGTAAAGTACAGACTGAAAAAGGTGAAGACCCTAAATGAGATAGATTGTCACATTGGCTGCAACAATGTGCTCACGTGTGGTAATGACTGTGAGGATGGCGCTGGACCAGGCAATGTTTCATTGAGTTGTACATGGGATCACTATGAGTCAGAACTGATGGCATCTAACAAAAACAACATCAACATCCAAAAATGAGCAATTTTTTGAAAAATTCTGTAGGCTTCTGTAACAGTCCTTTAAGCATTCAAGCATTCAATTTCTAAACTTAGTTGAAAGAGTCATTATTATGAGTTACACTAAGAAAGGAACACTTAGCAACATTGACAGCTCAGAGAAGTATTTGGAAGGAACTGAGGGATCAACATGATTAAAAAAAAAAAAATCCAAATGAGCTAGATTCTGAGGCCAATATTCTGAAATACCCATCTAATTACTCTAGAGATCTAAAAGGAGTGACTTATGTAATACCAGACTGTCAGTGCTTTATTGCACCTCCTTCATCCCTAGGGGGTGATCTTCTGACCCATGCCATAAGGTACATGAGCTGTGATGGTGCCAAATTTCTGTGCCCCTTCAATGTGGAACATTTGGTCATCAAAGAAGATGTGGGGCCGGATCTTCACCAAGATGGGACCTTTGGGAGCTCCAGCAAGGAAGAGAGCTTCATCTATCTCTAGACCCCAGCGGCGAAGGGTTTTCAACACACGAGCGCCTACACTGGCTGCACTCCTGGCTGTCACTAGGTAGGTCCTGATGGGGCAAAGTAAGCGTTCGTCTTTGGCATAAAACTTCTTTTGCAGTCTGCCTAAATCTTCCAGAAAGCCTTTCAAGGGACCCTGTGAAACAAACACATGCCATAGCTGTGATACAGTGAGCAAAAGGAAGTAAGCAGTAAAAGAGCAAAGTCTTACAAGAGTTTAAAAAGGATGTATCACTACATGAGATATGCAGTATTATAATGCCAATGATATAATGCTGAAACTCTGCATTTATATTAATGTATTTCTTGATATGCATCCTTGCATTCCTAGAATAAACTTTGGATGACCATATAATTTATCATCTAAACCTAGATATTTTAAGTGTGAAAGAAGTTTCTAAATACAGTAATTAGAGCTACAGATTTAAACTGAGATTATTCATGGCAAATTGGGATAGAGGGCCACCTTAAATAAACCCTGGTAGGTCATGAAATTATTTTTATTTGATTTTGGTGCATTGCATATTTTAACATTATAAAGTATATATTTGTCTACTTCTTGATTATTTTTGGCCTGAATTCAACCTTGTCTGATATTTACAATTACTTGGTATATCTTTGCACATGTTTTTGTCACCCTTTCTGAATATTTAGTTTTAGCTGTGTCTCTTGTATATAGAATTAGATTTTGATATGCGATAGAATTCAAAAGTCTTATTTTTTAAAAAAAGACAATAATTCAGTTTTATATTTATATTTATTAATATTACAAAATATGTTTGATATTGGTTCTGTCATATTGTGTACATTTTCCATGTTTAAATCTTTTAAAGAATTGTGCATTATGTGTGTCTTTCTTTTGTGCATGTGTGCATGTTTGTGGCTTTTCTGACATTTAGAAAAGTTTGCATTTATTTTCTTCTAGAGCTCTGGTAGCATAGTGGCTAAGACACTTGCCTGCTAACCAGATGGCTGGTGGTTCAACCCCCCAGCCACTCCTCGGAAGGAAGGTTGGGCAATCCTACTTCTGTAGTGATACTGCCTCGGAAACCCAAGTAGGGGTAGCTATGAGTCGGGTTTGACTCGACAGCACATAACAACAACACCAACAACAACAGAGATTATCTTTATAACTATAACCTTTTATAGCACCCTCACTCTTTTGTTTTTAACCCAGGATTAAATACTAATTCTTTACAATGAAAAAATTAGAGTATTTCTTCAACCTCTCACCTGTCTTCTGCTTCTTCTCCATGACCCAATTTTAATCATTTTCTTTAATTTCCTTATGGTTTACATTTCTGTTATTAGTTTAATATTTATATTTATCAGCTTTACATTTTATGCTTTGATCAGCAATTGTAATTGAAGAGACCACTCTGCTTACTCTTCTTTAGACCTTGTTCCCCTCAAATTGTTACAGATTTTATTGCTATATAATTTCTACATTGCTAGAGCACATAATATTTGCTTTCTTTTATGTCACTCTAATCCTCAGAGTTGTTTTAATTTTAGTTTTGGTTCTATGGTTAAATATAGTTTACACCCAATTTTGCCTTAGTGCTCCTAGTCATCACTTGTTGGCTGAAATATGTTCTCTAATACACCCACTCCTCATTTATTAATATGGTAAGGTTTCAAAGATCAGGTCCTTATGAAAATGTAAGTGTTATGTGAGAGTCAGGGATGTGCCCCATCTTCAATGCCAGTGTCTCTGGGCACTTTTGGGATGCAGATGTCTCAGTAGACCCTCCTCCCCTACTACAACTTCCTTACCACTGTGAAGCCTGCAGGGGTTGGAAGTGGTTAAGGGTGATGCTCAGATGTTGTTCACCACCTCCCACTGTCTGCCCTGGGTGAGGAACCCACTTATCCTCTCCCCACTGCTTCCTATCACCTACCCTGGGCGAGGAACACACTTGTCATCCACCTGCTGCCTTCTGCTATCTACCCTGGATGATGACCCCACTCATTGTCCTTTCACCCCAGCCATGTGGCCCTGTGTGGCCCCTTCCATCTTCCCCTTCTTCTCACCTTTCCCCAACGACCTACCTGGCACCTTCAGGCCTTTGACTGCACTCCCTGTGCCCAATTATGACCTCATGTCATCCCTCCATGGCCAGACTGAAATGTCACAGATGAACAAGAGAGTGTATCCTGTGGTGGATTAGCCTCCATCCCTCATGTGGCTGGTCATCACTGGGGCCTGCAGTCTATCATTTAGGGGGACCTATGAAGGATACTCTGGGCGTAGCGACAGCCCTCTGTCAGGCCTAGACTATCAGAGGCACCACTTGAAAATTTTTTCAGAGTTGTCATAAATGTGAAATGTGGAATAAGGAGATAGTTGATAAGTGAGGAGTAGGTGTGTTATTATTATTATTTTTTTTTTTTCAAGAAAGTCTTAAGGAAATAATAATGCCTGAGAATGTAGTGTATTTTCAACTATCTTTCTGTGTCCTCTGTGCTTAATTGACCATTTGGCTGGATACAGACTCCTTCATTTTCTCTCTACAGATATTTTATAAGTAGTGCTCTTTTGCTATTGAGTGCAGCCATGGAGAAGTTTGAGAATATTTTTTTGAAGTTTGAGTTGATTTTTTTTTTCCCACTTATGGTGAAGATCATTTTGGCTAGGCTACAGAAATAATTATTTCTTCATTTCTGATATCAAATAATTTTACTAGGTTTATTAAGCCATATCTTAATGATGATCATTCTGGTTCTATTTTTTTTATCATACAGTGTGGCTTTTAATTTTTTAATTTTGTGACGTGTACTAATATCTTCTGATAATTCAAGAACATTGCAAAATGCAACCACTGCTGTGGAGTTGGATCTGACTCATACCAACCCTTCCTTGGGTTTCCGAGGTGGTATCACTACAGAAGTAGATTGCCCAACCTTCCTTCCGAGGAGTGGCTGGTGGGTTTGAACCGCCAGCCTTCTGGTTAGTAGTCAAATGCCTTAGGCACTATGCCACCAGAGCTCCTTCAGGAATATTATATCAATTTATATTTGTATCTAAATTTACATTCTTTACATTTACACCCCCTGGCACATAATTTCAGCAGTTTTCTTCAGGGGATCCAATTATGCATATGTTGGATTTTCTTTAGTGCAGATTTATTTATATCAGTGTTCTGTCTAAAATTTTACTTTTTAATCTATAAGTTTCCAGAATTCTACCATTTTACATTTTTCCATCTCTGCTCTGATTCTTGCCTTTCTACTTTTTTATTTTGCTTCTGTCAGTTTTTAAAAGCCATGACACATGTTTAGTCATAGTTTTCAGTTGCACTTCGCAACTTTTTATAGTGAAAGTTTTTGATCTGCTTTTGGATTTTGCTCTTCCATATCTTCCTTTTCCTTATAATACTTTAACATATGTCCTGTGCTGATTCTTTTATTACTCATAAAAGAAATAGATTGTTTTTTTGTGGAACAATTAGATGGTTTCTGGGGGATGGTAAAGGGTAATATTTTAAGACTGAATTATTTTCACAATTAAAGGAGTTCGTTTTTCTCTTCTGTTATTGAAACAAACTGCTTTCTCCAAACATGGCTTGTCTGTGTGATAATTTGTTTAGTACTTATGTTTTTGAAACCGTATATATCCAAAAAATCTAGTAAAAATTCACTTCCTAAATGTGAGAAGCATACACATAGGTGAAAAAGCTCTAATTTTTAATTTTTTGGCAAGTTAGTAGCAATGAATATGTAGTGATTAGGGGCAATAGTCACATTGGTCACAGTTTGGCTTTCAAACACAAAAAAGAGACAGTACTGCTTGCAACTTGTGAGTTATTTCCAAAGAGATGAAGTGGAGAATGTTTATTTTATGTCACCAATTTTAAACTACACATCAATCTCATCCATTTTTATTTCTACTTTTGAGCATGTTTAATAACTTATATATTTGTACTGAAGTACAAATATATAATTTATCATTAAGATTATAGAAATATTAAGGAAAGTTTACTCAAAAATAGTTATTTGAGGAGTTGCATGATTTTAAATACTTGGAATCTGCCTAGGGTGTTGAAAGTTAGAAAGACTGTTAAAACCACCTTAACAACAAGAATAAAACAAATAATCTATAATGTTGTAACTTTTCTTTAGCCAGTCAGAGAGTTTAGATCACAAGGCAGCTGATTAGCATAAAATCTAAGGAAAAATACATCTACAAGAAGAGCTAGAATGCAATAATGGTTGGATCTCTGGTAGAACATGGAAAAGATACACGATACCATACATGCAGATATAAATAATTCACTTAATTTTTTAAAAATTGATGATAATCACATATTGGCTAATGAGAATACATAGAATCCTTGAAGTCACAAACAGAAGTACACACTGTCTTGCAGGCTCTTCCCCTATGGACTTCACTAGCTGCTTATGAGAAAGAATGCAGGTAGTGTGGGAGATGGAAAAAAGTAGTCTTTTTTGGTTTGGGATTGGAGTAGGGTAGGAGCTGCCCATATGAGAAAAGACTAAAACCATATCTGGTCCTTCTCCCCTACGGAACAAAAAAACTGTTCGAAGAAAAGCTCCAAATCTTGTCAGCCCCAGGGAAAAAGTAAAACTCCTTGTTACTTGAGGAAGCAAAATGAAAGAAAAAAAGAAAGAATCCTTGAGTGAGGGAAAGAAAATCTGTCTGGCTCAGATCATTAACTGTACTGTATCACACAGGGAAGGACAGAATCACAGAGAAAACTCTATGCCTAAAGCTGAGGGATGGAGGGCCTGCCTTAGACTGAGACTAAACCAGGACAACAAATAATGTCTTTGGCTCTATCATCAGGCTAACAGGAACAGATAAAAAGCAATAACTTGGGGGAGGAATAAGAGTATGGAGAGCTCTTCTGAGGCACAGACACAAAAGCAAAGTCTAAAGCTGAAAGAAGAGCAGAAATATTGAGAAAAATCCTCTCAAAGAAACCAAGACCCATGCTAATTCCAGAGGAATTTGAAACATATTATCCAATGAAGGTAACAATAGAAACAACAGAACTTAAAACTAGTTAAACTCATGAATAGATTGACTCTACTGGTCATATTACGGTAAAGTAAAAGATGTGAACGGAAGATTTCAAAGGGCAGTTCAAGAAGACAAAATAAAATATTATAATG